TTTTAAAGGATTCTAGGTGGGCTTTTTTGGCAGGAAACTCTCCGGGTGGGTCTGGATCCTGGGAAAGTCTGGAAGGGAAAGATAATAGTCTTAGCAAGTGGAATGTGGTCTTAGCCGGTGGAATGTGGTCTTAGCAAGTGGAATGTGGTCTAAGTGAAAGGGAATGTCAGTTGTGAAGTCAAAAGGTCAGTTCCCAGGGGAGGGGGTATCAATTCAGTTATTTGATCAGTCCTAACAGTTTCCTGATGGTTATTGCTGAGGTGTCTTGCAACCAAAATAAGGACCATAAGAGCCCTAGCTGGTTTGGCTCAGTGGATAGAATGTCTGCCTGAGAACTGAAGGGTCCTGGGTTCGATTCCAGTCAAGGGCACATACCTGGGTTGCTTGATCTCCAGTAGGGGGCGTGCAGGAGGCAGCCAATGATTCTCTTTTATCATTGATGTTTCTATCTTCGTCTCTGAAATCAATAAAAAATATACATATACATATATATGTGTGTATACATATACATGTACATGTACATGTACATATACATATACAAGCCTAAGTGACCGTTACGACTGAATGACTGGAACTGGTTGACCGGTCACTATGACACACAGTCCAGGACCCCTCACTCCTTACCGCCCGCCTGCTCACTGCTCCTTACTGCTCAGCTCGCTGCTCCTTAGCACTGCTGCGAAGGTGGGAGAGGCTCCCACCACCAACACTGCACTCCCCAGCCATGAGCCTGACTTCTGGCTGAGCGGTGCTCCCCCTGTGGGAGCACAGTGACCACCAGGGGGCAGCTCCTGCGTTGAGCGTCTGCCCCCTGGTGGTCAGTGTGCATCACAGTGACTTGTTGTTCCGGTCGTTCTGCTATAAAGGTCACATAGGCTTTTATTTTATATATATATATATATATATATTAGAAGCCTGGTGCATGAAATTCGTGCACGGGTGGGGTCCCTAGGCCTGACCGGCAATCAGGGCTGATCGGGGCCTTCCTGCTGGCTGCCAGCTGCCAGCCGGGGCCTGCCAGCCTCGGGGAGGGACCAGGGGAGGTTGGCCAGCCATAGGGGAGGTTGGCCCACGTGGGAGGTTGGCTGTGGGAGTGCACTAACCACCAGGGGGCAGCTCCTGCATTGAGCATCTGCCCCCTGGAGGTCAGTGAGCATCACAGCAACTGGTAGTTGTGGTGTTCCAGTTGCTTAGGCATCATATATATATATATCCTATTTAATAATAGACAAACATGGTAATTAACCGTACCTCTGACACACTTCCCATTGGCTAATCAGGGCTGTATGCAAATTAACTGCCAACCAAGATGGCGGCCGGCAGCCAGGCAGCTGAAGCGAACAGGAGGCTTGCTTGCTCCAGTGAAGGAGGAAGCCAAGGTTCCCCGCCTGCCGCTGCTGGGCTCTGAGCTTGCACTCTAAGAAACAATGTTGCAATTATAGAAGCTAAACATACCCCATGCTTTCAGCCAGCCGGCCGAGCTGGAGTTGCAACAGTGTTTCAATTATAGAAGCCTCAGAGCTAAAGCTGGCTCTCAGTTCCAGTGACAGCCATAGAAGGTAAATAAATCCCAGAATAAAAAAAAAAAAAAGAAAAAAAGGAGAGGTTGGGAGCTTCAGTCACCCGCCAGCCTGAAAACAGCCCTCAGCCCCTCACCCAGACTGGCCAGGCACCCCAGTGGGGACCCCCACCCTGAAGGGGGTGTGACCAGCTGCAAACAGCCCTCAGCCCCTCATCCAGGCTGGCCAGGCATCCCAGTGGGGACCCCCACCCTGAAGGGGGTGTGACCAGCTGCAAACAGTCATTATCCCCTCATCCAGGCTGGCCAGGCACCCCAGTGGGGACCCCCACCCTGAAGGGGGTGTGACCAGCTGCAAACAGCCATCATCCCCTCATCCAGGCTGGCCAGGCACCCAAGCGGGACCCCCCACCCTGATGGGGGACACCCTTCAGGGCAAACCAGCAGGCCCCCACCCATGTACCAGGCCTCTATCCTATATAGTAAAAGGGTAATATGCCTCCCAGCACCGGGATCAGCGGAGCTGTGAGGCCTCCCGAACCTGGGATCAGCGGAGCCGTGAGGCCTCACGCCCCGGGATCAGCTGAGCTGCGAGGCCTCCCGGCACTGGGATCAGCAGAGCCGTGAGGCCTCCTGGCACCGGAATCAATGGAGCAGCGAGGCCTCACTGCCCCTGTGTCAAGCGGAGCTGCGAGGCTTCCCAGCACCGGGATCAGCGGAGCCGCGAGGCCTCCTGGCCCCTGGAGCAGTGTGACGGGGCAGTGCCCAAACCCCCTGATCGCCCTGCAGCTCTGTGTGTGACAGGGGGTGGGGCCACAACCTCCTTATCAGCCCTGCTCTGTTCATGACAGGGGAAAGTGCCCAAACCCCCTGATCAGTCCTGCCCTGTGCCTGATAGGGGGGAGCTCTCCAACCCCCTGATTTGCCCTGCACTGTGTGTGACAGGGTGCGGCGCCCCAAACCCCCAATGGGCCCTGCTCTGTGTGTGACGGGGTGGAGCAGCAACCTCCCCATCGGCCCTGCCCTGAGTGTGACCGGCGGGGAGTGCCCCAACCCCCTGATCGGCCCTGCTCTGTGGGTGACAGGGGGCGGCGCCCCAACTCCCCTATCAGCCCTACTCTGTGCATGACAGGGGGGAGCTTCCCAACCCCCTGATTGGCCCTGCTCTGTGCGTGACAGGGGGGAAGCTCCCCACCCCCCTGATTGGCTCTGCTCTGTGTGTTACAGGGTACTGAGCCCCAACCCCCCTGATGGGCCCTGCTCTGTGTGTGACAGGGGGCAGCGCCTCAAACCCCCAATCAGCCCTACCCTGAGCGTGACTGGGGGTGGCATCGCAACCTCCTGATCCGCCCTGCTCTGTGCATGACGGGGCGGCGCCCGAACTCCCCAATCGGCCCTGCTCTGAGCCCGACCAGGGGCTGCACCTAGGGATTGGGCCTGCCCTCTGCCACCCGGGAGGGGGCCTAAGCCAGCAGGTCGTTATCTCCCAAGGGGCCCCAGACTGTGAGAGGGCACAAGTGGGGCTGAGGGACAACCCCCCCCCCCCTCCCGCCAGGGCACAAATTTTTGTGCACTGGGACTCTAAAATAAATAAATAAATAAATAAATATATATATATATATATATATATATATATATATATTATATAAATACACACTGAGTGGCCAGATTATTATGACCACCCCATCAGTACAATGAAGTGAATTAGTTATGAAATAATAATAATAATAATAATAATAAAACCTTGAGAGTATTTGCTTAGGAAGTTTTCAATATTCAGTATTTTTGGAAGTGTCAATGAAGTACTGGTGGGGTGGTCATAATAATCTGGCCACTCAGTGTATATATCCATAAGGGCTGGTTCCATCACAACATTGGTTGTTGATAGGCTGAAACCAGTACAAAACAGTAGGTATCCATTGAATATTTCTTGAATGAATGAATGAACAGGGTATCTTCTCTTTCTCTGGTTTTTCTAACCCCCTAGGACAGTGATGGCGAACCTTTTGAGCTCGGCGTGTCAGCATTTTGAAAAACCCTAACTTAACTCTGGTGCCGTGTCACATATAGAAATTTTTGATATTTGCAACCATAGTAAAACAAAGACATATTTTTGATATTTATTTTATATATTTAAATGCCATTTAACAAAGAAAAATCAACCAAAAAAAATGAGTTCGCGTGTCATAGGTTCGCCATCACTGACCTAGGATCACAGTCTAAGAAAATTTTTTAAGCAGTTGGCTTGCCTCACTGATTTCAGAAAGGTCATTCTAGTGACTGAGAGTATGTGTAAAGAGCTACAAACTTTTCTTAGGTTTTCACTCAGGAAGAGTCACCCTTGGGCACCCAGGACCTCCTCCACTGTGGGGGCTGCATCTTCTGGGTCTGCCAGCTCCACTCGTAACCCCAGCAGACCAGGGGCCTCTGCTTCTCTACCTAGTTCTGTCTTACAAAAGGACGAGTTCACTGGGAGAGTTGTTGGGGCGCAGGACACGGAACTTGGGAATGGTGAAGCAATCGGCAAAGGGGCTCCTATTCCGTCAGTGCCTCTCTCTTCATCCTGAATCTGTCTGGAAGACAAACTTGTTCAGCTCTGAAGCCCAGGAGAAGTCTCCTGTCTTTGCCAAATAGGTCTCTACTTTAAGAGACCTTGTATGATGGGACAACGGAAGAAGGGCCAAGTCCCTTCACCGTGTTTCCCTCCCCTCGCGATCCTCTCCCTTTCAAGAACCTGGCAAGCTTGCTTACCCTGCTTGCCCAGCGAAGGAGGCGATATGGAGGGATTAGAAAGAGGCACAAGGGAACTTTTTGGTTGTGATAGATATGTTCATTATTTTGATTGTTATAATGGTTACATAGGTATACACATAGGTAAAACCTCATCAAATTGTATGCTTTAAATGTGTGGTTTATGTCAAATAGACCTCCCGAATTGTTTAAAAAATGAGTGCATCATAATTCACCTTATACACACAACCCATAATCTTTCCGTATTGTCTTGCATTAACCTTTTGCTTCACATAAGTCAACCCATAACCAAAGCACAACCTAAAAATGCGTAAATATTGTCCATTTCGGGTTCCCTGTCTTCCAGTAGCACCACAGCACGGGGGCATCGCTAGCTGCCTCGGTGTGGCTGTTTCAGTATCCAAGGACGCCGGGCACCAGGAGACAGGCTTCTGACTGCACTCACGCGAGGGTGACCCCCCTAAGCGCTCGCTGCTCAGCGTGCCCGTCTCCCCTGGCCGGTGAAGGGTGGTTAATGGATCGCGAGCCGTTTGCGCGTGTCACAGGACAAGCGCTGCCGCACTACAGCCAGAGCGGCCCCACGTCTGCACGTCCGCCACGGAAACCCTACTGTAGGGAAAGGGACGAAGGGAGACAAAAGCCGGAGCCGGAAAGTTCTGGGAATAGGTTTAGCAAACACTTCTGGTTCCGGCCCTAAGTCCCACTTCCGTCCGGGGCACATGCGCGCGGCAGTGTTCCCTGCTTTCCTGTCCGGCGGGGCCCCAGACCCCGCACTTTCCGTTCTGTCCGCAGGCCGTTCGCTCCGGCTCCGGAAGCCCCTTCCGCCCGTGCTCTGAGCCGCTGCCGGGCCGTGCCCTCCGGTACGGTCTCTCCCTGTGCCGTTTCTCCGTGGGCGGTACCGTCTCTCCCTGGGCCGCCTGTGGGGCCAGTGGGGGTGCGGTCTGCAGTTCATCTCCTGGAGTTTGAAGGGGCGCGGGGAAGCCACGCGGGCCGCCTTTTCCTTGCTCCCCCAGAGCTGCCTTTGGATCCCGAAGGCCCAGTCCCCAGCGCTAAGAAACCAGCGCTAAGAAGACCGGTCTCGGGCCTGAGGGCACGTCCGCGCTCTCAGCGGCCTGGGGGGAAGGGGGAGAGGGGTGGGAGAGAACCCGGTGTTTCCCGACTTGGTTTAGTCGCGAGCTGGGAACCGAACACCAACCTCTTTCCCTCCCCGCCAGCCCACTGACCATGCCCGCGGGCGTGCCCTGGACCACCTACCTGAAGATGTTCACCGCCAGCCTCCTGGCCATGTTCGCGGGGTCCCAAGTGGTGCACAGGTACTACCTGCCGGACCTGGTGAGTGCAGGAGGGCCCTGGGCTTCGCCCTGCATTCTCCCCACAAGAGCAAAAGGGATCTTTAAACGAACCAGGAGCGCTTCTGCCCTGGGCTGCTGGGGTCCAGGGGTCCCCAAAGGTGTGGACGGAGTCAGCAAAGAAGGAAGGACATGGAGACAGCGTTCAGTTGATCAGCAGCCTAGCCAGGATCTCTAGCCAAGTTCTGGTCAGGATCTCCAGCGAAGTTCTGGTTAGGATCTCCAGCCAGGTTCTGTGTCCATGTTCTCTTGCTAGGTTCTGTCCAGGTTCTCCAGCCAGGTTCAGTCACCAGGTTCTAGTCAGGTTCTCTTGCCAATTTCTGTAGTCAGGTTCAGTCCAGGATCTTTTGCCATGTTCTCTCGCTAGGTTCTGTCTCTAGGTTCTGTTGCCAGTTTCTGTCCAGGATCTTTTGCCATGTTCTCTCCAGCGAAGTTCTTCTGTCTCTAGGTTCTGTGTAGGTTCTGTCTTCTCAGTTCTGTCTTGTTACATCTGTATTTATACCAGTTGATTCCAATCCTATCAATCTCTATTCCAAAGGTTAGGGCGTTTCTTATCTCCATTCCAGGGAGTAAAGATTATGTAGCTTAAGCATGATTGTTCGTAGTTAAAGTGATTAATTACCCGCCTGGCACTTAGTTAAGGGGTTTTATTCCCTCACTAACTTCAGGGGAAAATCCCTACCTGGGGAAACAACCTTTCTCAGAGACCTTGGTTAAAACACATAGTGCCAAGAAGGTGAGCAAACATATTAAGAACAGTATGCCATATATGCCAGGTCCCTTGAAACAGCAAGCAGGGACCGGCTCCCGGCACTGGGCCTAAAATCCGATGATGGCGTCCAGTTGCATGGAGAGCAATGCCATGTCCTGCTCTTACACAGCCTGGCACCTGCCTGCCACTGGCCTTACCTTATACATTTCCGCCCCTTTCCCCATGTTGCAGCCACACCAGCTTCCTTGCTGTTTCTCAAGCTCATCAAGCCTCTTCCCATCTGAAGGCCTTGCCTTTCCTGTTTTTGGGGAGCTTTTCTCCCAGATCTTGGCTTGGTTTCCTTCTTCAAAATGTCAAGTTTCTGCTTAGATATCTCCTCCGTCTATGAGGATAGCCTCAGAAGGATTGCTCCTCTGCTATTCTCAGTCCTTCCTTTCTTCCTTTCGTAGAGCACTTGTCACAATTTGCAATTATTTTATTCCTTTGTCTCTACTTGTTTTTAATCTTGTTTCCTCCACTAGAATGTAAGGTCCACAAAAGCGTTGTTCCACAATACAATAACACTGTATAACCACTATGGTGGGTATTAATTAAAAAAACACGCACCTTGCTAATGAGGTGCTGGTGAGGATGTGGAGAACCTGGAACCCTCATACAGTGCTGCTAGGAATGTAGAAGGGTGTAGCTGCTGTGGAAAAGTCTGACAGCTCCTCAGTTAAACACAGAGTTACCATATGACCCAGCTATTCTGCTTCTAGAGAGAGATGAAAACATTTGTCCACACAAAAGCTTGTACATGAATATTCATAGAAGTATTATTTATAAGAACCCAAAAGTGGAAACAATCCATATTGTCCATAAACTGATAAATGGACATATACAATGTGGTATACCCATATAATCGCACATTATTTGTTCCTAGAAGGAGATACAAAGTACTTACATGTGGCAACATGGATGAACCTTAAAAACATGCTAAGGGAAAGAAACTAGTCACAAAAGCCTACATATTGTATAATCCATTTACATGAAATTTGTCCAGAATAGACAAATCTATTGAGCCAAAACTAGATTAACGGTTGTCCAGGGCAGTGGTGTGGATGTGGGAAAGCTTTGTGGGAATGGGAGTTACTGGTGGTGGGTATGGGATTTCTCTTGGGGGTGCAGTTCTAAAATTAATGTACTGATGCATGTACAACCTTATGAATCTACTACAGGCCATTAAATTTATACTTTAAATGGGTGAATGGTAGGTATGTGAATTATCTCACTAAAGTGGTTAAAAAAGTAATCTCAGGCCTTTCCTGACCATCTTTTCTGAAGGTAGTTTTATTTATTTATTTATTTATTTATTTATTTATTTATTTATTTATTTATTTTCCAAAATGTGTTTATTGGGATGGTTTCCCACTCGTCTTGGTTCGAGGTGTGTTTAGTGCTGCTTCCTTCTGAAGGAGCATCCTTCTGTAAGCCTTGCTTTTCCTCCTGTTGGCTGACAGAGAACAGTGGAGCCACCAACCCACAAAACTGCCGTTTGTGCATGGCTACAGGCAATGGTGATTTTATAGCATCCTGGGCATTTCACATTCATAAGTAGGAATCGGGGCTCTGCACCAGGCGCTTCGCTTCTGGAGAGGGGTGGAGGAGATCCTCAGTGAGAGGCATATTGTCGTGGGGAGGTCATCACCGCTGGAAAGGCTGTGAAGGTAGTTTTATATTTTTTTTGCTCACTGCTTGATACAGGTGGAGAGTCAGTAAATAGTACAGGAGTAAATTTCCAAATATGGAAAGTTGTATTCAAATTTGTGATAGTGATACAAACTCTCCCCCTCTAGAACTTAAAACCCAGCATGGACAATAGAGTCATTAGGGTTAGAGAGGGACTTAGATCAACTGTGGGTTCTCATGATACAGATTTATTGTTGAGTAGCAAGGGACTTTCTTTTACTCTCCCTGCTTTAAAGTCTTTCAGGTCACATTTAATGACAGTCTAAGAAAGCACTGGCATCTGTGTTTTTATGTGTGTGTGTTTTTTTTTGTTTTTTTTTTAAATAGACAATACCTGAAATCCCACCAAAGCCTGGAGAACTCAAAACGGAGCTTTTGGGACTGAAAGAGAGGCAACACAACCCTCAAACTTCTCAGCAGTAGAAACCTCAAAATACAACTCTGCCAAGAACTCTGTGAATAAGTCTTAAATATATATTTTTAAAATTGATTGAGTCCAACTACTTGCACTTAAGCACCTAATACAATGCTAACTACAGGAGGAGGTACACAGAAGGTATTAACTGATGCATTGAGATTTATTTATGGTTTGACCAGTGTTTCTTGAAAACTGCCAAAGCATTCTTAAATGTGGTTTGATAGTCATTTAGCTGTGAATATCATATGAGATAGAGTATTTGCAATGACTCTTACTCTTACAATTCTTTTATATATATATATATATATATATATATATATATATATATGCACTCCCATGTTTATTGCAGTATTAGCCAAGGTACAAAAACAACCCCAAATCCCCATCAACAGATGAATGGATAAGAAAGATGTTGTACATATATATTCAGCCATATATTCAGCCATAAGAAAGGAGGGTATCCTGCCATTTGCAGCAACATGGATGGACCGTGAGCACATTATGCTTAATGTCATGAGTCAAACAGAAAGACAAGTATTGTTATGATATAACTTATGTATGGAATCTAAAAAAGTCATACCTGCCCTAACTGGTTTGGCTCAGTGGATAGAGCGTCGGCCTGCGGACTGAAAGGTCCCAGGTTCGATTCCGGCCAAGGGCATGTACCTTGGTTGCGGGCACATCCCCAGTAGGGGGTGTGCAGGAGGCAGCTGATCGATGTTTCTCTCTCATCGATATTTCTAACTCTCTATCCCTCTCCTTTCCTCTCTGTGAAAAATCAATAAAATATATATATATATATAAAAGAATTATCACAGTCTTCTCAAGTTAAAAAAAAAAATAAAAAAAAATAAAAATAAAAAAATAAAAATAAAAAAGTCATACCTATTAAAAGCAACAACAATGGAGAGTAAAATGGCGGTTAGCAGGGTCTGGGGAGTGGGGATAAGAGTGATGGTATTTAAGGGTACAGACTTGTGACAAGTAATAAATAAGCCATAGCGATCTAAAGCACAGTATAATGAATCTAAACCAGCGATTTTCAACCTTTATGACGCAAGAATTTTTAAAAACATGCAATACCTGACTATTTAGTCAGGGACACTGACCTCTTTTCCCTTAGATTGTCAAATAAAAAAATGACAACAGCCAACACAACAGTAGCCATCTGGTGTGAATGAATCAAAATTATATCTATTTTTTAAAATGTTTTTTATTTATTTGAGAGGAAGGAATAGGCAGAGATAGAAACATCAATGACGAGAGAGAATCATGGACCGGCCGCCTCCTGCACATCCCCAGTGGGGACCAAGTCCGCAGCCTGGGCATGTGCCCTGACTGGGAATTGAACCGTTACCTCCTGGTTCATAGGTCGACACTCAACCTCTGAGCCACACTGGCTGGTCATACTTATTTTTTTGTCAGATTGGCAAAAAGTATGATTTTCTTTTTTTGGTGTGCCACAGAATTTATTAGATGAAAAAAGGTTAAAAATTGCTGATCTAGACAATATTATAATTATGTAGTATGATAAATATTGCTACAATGACAATCGTTGCAATATATAAATGTATCAAAGTAACACTTAAACTTACACAATGTTACATGTCAAATTTATTTAATTCAAACTAGTAAAGGTCACACTGATACATAATTTGCAGTCAATGTTGACAATTAACTACTAGAGAAAGTAGTCATTACAGGGTCCCCCTGGTAGAGTTCTCTTGATAGAAGGTTTAAGTTGAAACACTAGAATTCAACAGGAGGATCTCTCTCTCTGCCCCTCGACAAGATTAACCCTGTGTTCCTGGACTTGAATTCTGAAAAGATCCTAAGGAGTATGCTCCAGGAACATGTCCTCATGCTCCACAGGGTCTGAAAATATACTAATTCCTCATCACACAATGGGGTCCTTTTATGTAGTTAGTTCTAAATTAAATTATCACAGCCTTAACATACCTTCACACAGCCATGTGGTTTGTGATTCAATAGTATACATAGAACTCCATGTGAAATCTCTGGAAACTGAAGTAGTTGTTGATGTAATTGTACAGCTTTATAGATAAAAGTAACAAAAGCAAACGACCTAGAACTAGAAATTCTCAAGTATCGTAGGATCTACCAATTTAATATCTCCTGAATAGGGCAGGCTGGAGTGGGTAGCTGAATTGTCTCCTAGTTTCCCTTTCCCACCTTAGTAGCTGAATCAATGGATATCTTTATAAACAAAGTTATGTTGCATCAGTAAAGATTGTTTCCCAGGACTACATGTGAAATCAGTCATCTCTGTACTAGTCTTCTCTGTCCTGATTGTAATTATACAAAACATCACCATATTTACATTTTAATTCACTAGCATCTTAGAGAACATATTTCACTACAAATAAAAGGTAGTTCTCTAAGGAGGGTATGGGGGGACAAATGGTGATGGACGGAGACTTGACTTGGGTGGTGAACACACGATACAGTGTATAGATGATGTGCTATAGAATTGTGCACCTGAAATCTGTATGATTTTGTTAACCAGTGTCACCCCAGTAAATTTAATTTTTTTAAAACTTAAGAAACATCTAGAAGAAATTACAAACAAGCATTCTAATCATACAACAGTGTAATAATGCAATGGATGCCTTTTTGACTGGAAATAACAAAACATTTAAAATGATGACCAAATGGATGCCAAATATACTCTTAAATAATACTGACAAAAAAAAAAAATAATACTGACATAGAAAGTTTCACTCCATTCGGAGAGCTTCTGGGTGATGAACAGGTGGAGATTCTGGGAGAGTGGAGCTCCGGGTGAGGGCATGGAAGCACCACACCCTTTGCCCATTCCTTACCCTTTAGTCCACAGGCCAATGCACTATCCACTGAGCCAAACCGGCTAGGGCAAGCCTTGGGTCTTAACATGACCATTTTTTTTCTTTTTGTGTTTTTTTTTGGGGGGGGCTATTTTTTGTAACTTCCTCAAATCTTTAGAAAGATCAGATTTGCTTTTCTTGTTCAACGATTCTAATCTGACATCATGTAGCTATAATCATAGCATTTTTCTTAATTTGGATGAAACCAGCTGTGGGTTTAGAAGTTGTCTGTATATTTCAAATGACTCTGTAATGCTCTCTGGTTAACAGTGAATCAACAGAAGTTTTAGAATTAACATAATTAAAATGTCCATACTGCCCAAAACAATCTACAAACTCAATGCAATTCCTATCAAGATACCAATGATGTATTTCACAGAACTAGAACAAATATTCCAAAAATTTACGTGGAATCATAAAAGACCCCGAATAGCCACAGTAATCCTGAGAAAGAACAAAATTAAGAGGAATCATGCTACCTGATATCAAACTATATTACAAAGCTATAGTAATCAAAACAGCATGGTACTGGGATAAAAACAGATACAGATTAATGGAACAGAATAGAGAGCCCAGAAGCAAATCCACACCTTTATGGTCAATTAATATTTGACAAAAGAGGCAAGAACACACAATGGGGTAAAAGCAATCTATTTAATAAATGGTGTTGGGAAAATTGGACAGATATGTACAAAAAAATGAAACTAGACCATCTTCTTACACCACATGCAAGAATAAACTCAAAATGGATTAAAGACTTAAATGTAAGACTTAAAAACAAAAATCCTAGAAGCAAACATAGACAGTAAAATCTCAGACATTTCTCAGCAATATTTTTTTCTGATATATCTCCTTGGGCAAGGAAAACAAAAGAAAAAAACAAATGGGACTGCCTTTGTAAAACAAATTTTTACACAGCGAAGGAAACCATCAACAAAATAGATAATCCACTGAGTGGGAGAACATATTTGCCAATGATACATCTGATAAGGGATTAATTTCCAAAATACATAAAGTACTAATACAACTCAACAAAGAAAGACAATGCAATTAAAAAATGGGCAAAGGACCTGAACAGACACTTCTCCAAAGAGCACATACTAGTACAAATGGTCAAGAGACATGAAAAAGTGTTCACTGTCACTAATCAGGAAGATGCAAATTAAAATGAGATATCACCTCTCGCCTATCACAATGGCAACCAGTGTTGGCGGAAGATGTGGAGAAAAGAGAACCTTCATGTACTGTTAGTGGGAATGTGGACTGGTGCAGACACTGTGGAAAGCAGTAGAGTTACCTCAAAAAATTAAAAATGGAACTGCTTCATGACCCCACAACTCCACTTCTGTAATTATACCCAAGAAACCAGAAAAACTAATTAAAAAAAACATACGCACCCCAATATTCATTGCAGTATTTATAATAGCTAAGATTTGGAAGCAGCCCGAGTGTCTTATCAGTAGATGAGTGGATAAGCTGTGGTATACTACTTGGATGGAATACTACTTGGCTGTAAAAAAGTAGGAAATCTTACCTTTTGGGACAGCATGGATGGCCCTCGAAACTATGATGCTAAGTGAAACAAGCCAGTCAGAGAAAGACAAATACCATATGATTTCACTTATTTGTGGAATCTAATGAACAAAATAGCAACATAGATACAGAAAACAGACTGCCAACTGTCGGACTGAAGGGGGTTTGAGGGGTGAAAAAGGTGAAGGGATTAAGCAGACAACAGGTATACTTGAAACCTACATAATTTATTGTTACCCCAATATATTCAATAAATTTTTTAAAATAGAAAGTATTAAGTTGAAATATTTAAAGTGTGAACTTCTTTTGGTATTGTGTACATAAAAAATTCTAACAATTGTGACTTGGACTGTCACAATTTGTTTACCTCCAAATTTAGGTTTATAGGGAAATTAGTAGTCTCGTCTACCTTTCTCCATTTCCATGAGTACTCATGTTAAAATGGTACATATTACATATGTCAAAGCTATCAACTATACCCCAGACTTTATTGGGACTTGTTTTGATCTAGTTGCATTTAGTTGCCCTAGCTCCTTAAATTTGTGGCTATTTCTTTCCTTGGTTTTAACCTTAAAACTTAAGTGTTTTAAATGTTTTTACTGATTTCAGAGAGGAAGGGAGGGGAGAAACATCAATGTTGAGAATCATGGATTGGTGGCCTCCTGCATGCCCTCC